GAGTTGGCTGGATCTTGCCCGTCAGTATCTCGTCATGCAAGCAGACTTCAAAGACACAAGCACATTTTTTTCCTGGAGGGAAGAAGTGAGGAAGAAGATCCTTCCTGAAGGTTTGGACCTGTCTGTTTGGATGGTCATGCTGGAATCTTGTTCTGGAGGGCCGTTAGCAGTGACCAGCCATCCGCTGGATGTCCCCAACACTGTCGTCAACCCCAGCTTTAGGTGGAACAGTTTCTGCAAAATCACCAGCCTCTAGGAAGTTGGTTTCATTTTTGGAAAGCTTTGATTGTAGACATTTCTTTCCTTCACATCATGCCAAACTCTTTCTGTCTGTGGTATCTACCAATTTTACCACCACCAGTTTCTGCTCCCTGGTGCTGCAAAGCACCTTTCCTCTCCTTTCTGCATCTCTTTCTTCAGTTGGTGTGCAGAGATGCTGAGCGCCTTGTATCCATAAAGTAATGCCATTCTCACTGCCAAGTTCTCTGGATTAACCCCATGCTCAGGATGGGAGTCGGGATGCCGTCACACATGGGAGCCATCCCTGAAGGAAACGCAAAATTCATTTGTGATACTGAGTTTGGAGTGGATGAGCATGCCGGGTGAGCACTAGATGATCTCAGTCTTGGCCCCACTAAAATGTCCAAAGTCAAGGAGACTGGGGGGCACTGTCCTTATCCTTCTGTGAAGATCATGTGTTGTGCTTGTTCTAGTCACCAGCCCTGGGCCAGTGGCTTAGAGCTGTTCTGGGCACTGCCCTTGCCCTATGCTCACGGGGCAACTCAGGCAGAGAAACACAATGAGACCAGAGTACGATTCATATCAGAGGCTGAGGGGCCTAGAAATGGGATCTTTTGCCTTTGGTGGGGCGGCTCGTATGGACGGGGGCAGCTAGGAAGATTTCTCCAAGTCTAGTCTCAGTTTGGTGAGCCACTGGGGAACGTGCCTAGAAGCTCAGAGGCAGGAAAGAGCAGGATATGTTCAGGGTGGCAAGTAGCTCAGTGTGGTTGGTATGTTTTGGGGAGTGGAGTCTGGTAAGGCAGGCAGATGCTCTGTCTAGAAGGTCTGAGGTGTGAGGTCTAGGGGGGCAGGTTGGAACTTTTTCCTGAAGATATTAAGCATCACAGGACTGGAATCGAAGGAGTGACATGGTCAGCTCTGGGGTAGGAAGACACGCTGGCAGCTGTAGGGAGTGAGACATGGAGTGGGCTGAGATTGATGGCCGATCAGCCCACAGGTTATTGAATAATTTTAGGCAAGAAATGCTAAGGGCCTGATCTAAAGCTTCAGGGAAGGAGAGGAGAGATTTGAGAGTTATGGAAAGTAATGGGCAGGATTTGGATGCCGAAGTAATGGGGGGGATGCATGAGGAAAAGCAGGGGTGGCCCAAGGTTGGGGGGAATCTGGAGGGGCTTCAATTCTTGTGGCTAAAGTGCTGGAAGTTCTGGCCCAGTCAGAGCTCACTGGGCTGGGCTTCTTCCTGAGAGGTGGGGCCAACAGAGGTGGCCAAGGACAGGGGGCTGCCGTTCAATCAGGTGAGATGGGAGTGTTGTGGTCTGCGGTCCATAAAGTTCAAGAACTAGATGCAAATCAGGTATCAACACATTGTCTCCTTTTGGCCCTTTCTGACTGATGTGGTCCTGAGCAGAGTTTCAGATCTAGTGTCCCAGGGCATCTGGTCTGGCATCTGTAATACCTCCTGGGCAGCCTGGGGTCTGAAGGACACTGGCCTCAGCTCAGGAGTGGAGTGTAGAGGGTCCAGCTTGCTGCAGTCTAGTGGTTTCTTGGTTGTTTAGTGTCAAACTCATATTGGGGACACTCAGTGATTAGTCTAATTACACTTCTTTTTGCCTCTTTTTTCTAGCAACAATTACACATGCATTGTTTCATAGATCGGTTCTTAAGTTTTTCTACAAACAAACCACAATTACTGCCTGGTATCAGCCACCAAATTATTAATTCCTAACCTAACATGAAACAAATGCCTCTGTGAAGCAGTTAAAGTATTGCAAGAATATTTATTTTGAGTAACTAAACTATACACTTCCTGTTCAGTGTTAAGGAAAATTGGTCTTTATTATTCCAGGGAAATGTCAAGATCACTAAGTATCGTAGCATTTTGACCTGTGTTATGTTGAGCAAACTCTCCACATGTTTCTCATAAAAATATACATCAGAGATGGTTTCAAACTGAACGTCAAACTTAGTTAAAGGTACAAACCTCTTCAAAGTTATTGTGAATATCAAATGGAACAATCAAATGCACATCAGCATGAGCCACTTTTTTCTTAGGGGCTCTATCACGCCGATGGATTTAGCAACTCTGTCATTCTAGGTGATGGAGTGAGGCTTCTGCTCTCATTAGAATGACCTCTGTGGATGCTGGGTTGGGCTTTGCAGGATCTCCCTCTCCATCAAGTTTTTTTAAAAGTGTGTATAATCACTTATAAAAACATTTTAAAAATTGATACTCTATACCTTGTTGGACTTCTGTGATGATTACCCGGGTTATACATATGAAAGAATATCTAGCTGTATACTTTTCTCTAAGTTATAGTTCAATTAAATATGAATATGTATTTTCATATTCCATGGAATGTCAGCAAGAATTTTTTTTTTAATAAAGTTCTTCCTGGTAAGAAGTTGACAAGGGAGATGTGTTTTGTAGGCCACTATTTAGTTGCTTAAAAATCTTAGTTCTGTAATCTACTAGATCCTAAGTGCAGCGTTTTGAATCTGATTCCTTGGTATCTTTTTGAAGGACCCAAAGAAAAATTAGTGCCTTCTTGGCAAAGAGATGACAACTCCTGCCTCTTTGGGGGAGGCAGGGGCGGGGGCGAAAGGAGACAGCTTTCCCCGCATCACAATGTTTCATAAGCATACTGTTTTGTGGCTCTTGCCTCATTTTGTAATAGAGGTAAATATTAATTTCCAAAATGGATTTTGTATGTATTTCCTTGCTTTAAACATCTCCAAAGGCTCAATGGTACCGAGAAAGGCTAATTTCAAGGACATAGACATCTTACTGTTTCTGGGTTAAACTCCAGAAAATGTAAAAGGCTTTTAGGCTTCTAAGTTATTGATATTTGTATACTTAGCAGTGATTTGATGCCTGACTTTATCTAGTATCTTTTCTTTTCGAAGCAAATCCTAGGTGTCACCCTGGTTTAGAGACAGTGGGGAGCTGAACTGCCTGGGTTCAAATCCCTGCTCCTTCACTGGCTAGTTTCTCACTCTGAGCAAGAAACTTTAGGAGGAACCTAATAATACCACATGGAACTGTTCTGAAGATCACTTGAATTAACAAGGCACTTGGTAAAGTTATTAGGGCACAGGGTAGACAAAAAGTTAAAGACACTTGAAGATTTTGCTGCCAATCAGTTATAACAGTAAATAATATAAAATGCTTTATTTCATGTAGAGAGATAGGATGCACAGATCATTTAATGCTTCAAGGATCCAACTAAGGGTAAGACTACTCTAGATAATATCTAGAGAGGGGAAAATTACCTATTTGTGTGGAAATCTTTTGATTCCATTCTTAATTACTTAGAAGCTTTAGTATCTAACAGAATGAGGACAGCATAAAAACTTTTAAAAAATTATCAGGCTGGGCATATCAATATTTATTGAAATACTGAAAAAAAAAATCCATTTTGTCGAGAAATTCCTGGCAAGAACTGACATGACAATATGTATTTCACTGATACAGTAAGAAAACGCCAACAAGTAACCGACTTCACACTCTAAACATTGCATGGATTCAGGTCCAAGGTAGCTGCAGATCTGTAATACAAATGTTCAGACATTACAGATTGTCTGTTTACAAACGTAGACCAACTATAGTAAACCACGCGAAGCCAAAAGTGTTTATATTTGAGTCTGCTTTTCCTAATAAATCCTGTAATTGATGAGGCAGTTGCTAAGGAAATGTCTCGTGACAGACTGGTTAACAACGAGCCCTAGAGAAATTTCATTTGCCAACTTTGGACGGGCCACAGACGTCGGCTGTGGTGCTTTCTTGTTTATCAACTTCTGTTCTTGATGTCAGCAGGAGTGTGGATGTAACTCTCCGTGTTGCCCATCTTTATAACTATACTTAGGATGGAATTTGCTCGGTTAACAACATACCAGTAATTGACTTTTCTTAGGTTTAATTTTCAGTGGAGAGTACTACTGTATTATTTAAAATAAGAAAACATGGGCTTTCAGAATCAATGTATTTAGGGTTTTTTTTGCAGTGTTAAAGACCCTCCAATTAACTATCCCACCAATCTCATAATTGCCGCCACCCATGTTCCACAACCAGGATGCAACCATTTCAGTAACTGTTAACAACACCCATTCCTCTCCACATGTCTTCTTAGCCAACTTGGTTTTTAAGCGGGAAGAGTAAGGACGCTGCCAGTCTATTTAATGCTTTGGACATTGACTCTGATCAGCTGTTTTTCATTGTCCTTTGAGCTGCGATGACAGGTGACTGAGACTTTGCATGAGGAGCTGTGGACATTCAGCTTAGCAAATGTGTACCCTTCATGTGGACGAATATTGGAGGTGATTAAAAAAATAATAAAATAATCCCTTTTGTACACACAGAAGTAGTAACTAATATCTTTGGTATACAACTTACAACGCTTGTAAAGGAAACCAGGGAAGACTCTACCCTTGTTAAATTTACTTGAAAACAGAGGAAACTACAAGTCACATAATTTACAATAGATATTAAATAAACTACAGTAAGAATTATGAAGATTTACAGACATTTAATCAAGTGAATGATTTTAATTCATTAAGACCCTTCTCTGTCCCTGAACTATGTTCTGCTAACTTGAAGACATGCTACAGTAAACACATATATTTGGTTTCTTCAGTCTTGGCTATATCTTATACAAAGGTGAAACCAAGGAACAATAAATTAGCATCATAATTGTCTACAGTTGAAACTATGATATACAATATAAATAAACTATTCAAAAGCCTGAAACATTTATGAAAAAATTAAGGGACTAGGAGATACTTTTAGTTTTTACAGTTTTTACAAGTGATTGTGCCGCTGATAATCTCAAAAAAATCAAAGTCTAAATGAGATTCCCGTTGTTGATTTTAGTGTCTCACGACATACAATAATTAAGTACTGTTAAAAATAATTACCAATCAGAAAAATAACATTAAGGAAATTACACTGCTTTAGCTATTTTGTAATATCACAGTTCCCCCCCTCCCCCCACAGGACCTAAAGAATGTAAACACTATCTTTTATTTGACTTGAAAGTATTAATACTTTATTTTAGACAAATGTTGATCCACATCTGCACAGCTACCTCTCAGAATTGTGAAATAAGGCAAGACTTCCATACCTGTGGCATTACATGTCAATAATACTGCTATCGTTGTTTGGAGAGTTTGTTTTGCAATTCTTTGTCCTTCAATATTTGTTCTAGAGCAGACTTTGGTCTATGACTCAGAAAGGTCAGTATCACTCTCTTCCTTTCCCTTTTGGGGAAGATTGGAATTGCTTTAGTATCTTTCCAGTCCATATGTAGGAATCACTGTTGCCATTCTATGTTTAGGGGATGTTCAACTGCAACAAGCAGGAGACTTGAGGCAATTTATTAGCTCACCTTTTTCTTTCTTTTTGAATAGCTTAACATGCTTCGGTTTTATTTTAAACTACTTAGCACTGTGACTATTTGACATCCCAGTAAGATATGTTTCAGGTTTTATTTTCAAATGAACTACAAACTTTGATGGTTCAAAAGATGGATGTACCCTAACAAGCCTTTTGGCAAGAAATTTTTATGAAATCTGACAATGCCAAAGCCACGTTTCAGTAACAATAACAGAAATAAGGTCTAGCTTGCTTTAGCTATGGAGCATTTGCTTTAAATTTGTAGTCTTTTCCCTTAATATTAATTAATGCTTATATAAGATCAGAAGAGGGATACTGTCTGCTTTTTTTTTTAAACATGAACACATGACAAAACAAACCAGAACATATTTCAAATGGCAAGCTAACATATTGTAGACTGTTCTTATTAGCTGTTTGCTGGTCTAAGACATAGACATTCAAAATTAGGCTTTTCATGATTTGGTGGAGCTACTAGTGGGTGTGGCTGAGCACAAATCCGTAAGGACAGATTCCGTGATCATAGGACAGAAGGTGCTGGGTCCTTGAAAGGAAGAGGGAAGGGCTATTACAGGTGTAGCCGATGGATTTTTTGAGTTGTTTTAGTTCAGCTTTACCATGGAGGCATTCTGTAAGCTCAAATCCCCTGCTGTATAAGCCTAATTAATAACACAGATCAGTTCCTAAATTTCTTCACAGCGGAGATCAGTTTAAATATACAAGAATTGTTCTGTCCATTTTTATTCCGATATGGGGTTGGTATCCATCTGTGAGTTCAATCCACTCCGTTACAATGTCTTTTATATGAAATCCTTTGGGGATGTGAAGCCTTTGATTCACAGTTTGCAATACAAATACCCTGATACGTCATTTATTTGCTATTAAGTATTTGATTATTATGCCTTTTTAAACTCAATATCTTTAAACCAAGTTTTTAATTAGTGTTGCTTGGAGCAGTTCAGAGTATTTTTTTTTCCTTTTCTTCCTGTTCTTCTTTTTTCCCCCCCACCAATCTCTTTTTGTTTTGAAAGCAGAGCTTTTAGGGGTTGGAACCTAAGCTCTTTTTGCATGCAACATTTCAATAAGGAGGTTATTATAGGGCACATCCCCGTTCAGGTGCTTATAGTAGAGGTATTCTTCAGCCTGCATGCTGATGGCCCGGATTTCGGGTAGTCGAAGAAGTAGCTGCCCGAATTTCTCTGTTTGCTGTGGGTAGTTGCACATAGTATAGTCCAGCAGGGCGGCATTGACTTGTTCCTGGACACCTTCTACCAGCTGGAAGTTCTCAAGGTTTTTGACATCTGGATTTAAAAAACAAACAAAAAAACACCATGATATTTTAATGGAATTTTAATTCCTGTTTACTACAGCAGTGTGTTCAATTAATGGATGTATTTCCTTCTGACATAAAGCATACTTTTTATGCTGCTGAATATTCAGTAAGCTCCACTCACCAAGCTTCCTGGGAAAAGGATCACAAAAGAGCTTTAGAAGAATGTCTTGTTGAAATTCTGCATATACCTCAAATCAATTAGACACCAATGGATTTTGAGCAAGGTCAACTCTTTTCATATCTTACAAAAGGAAAGGTTTGAGGATTCCTAAAGTAGAGGGATCATAATATATTGCCAGCAAATGAGTCCCTAGAGAGAGACCTATCTTAACCCAGTATATTACACAATTCATATAATTCTGTATTAATTTTTCTGACCCAAGGTGAAATCTGTGTCCAGGGTATGATGTAGTTAATTCTAATAAAAAGTGACAGGGTTCTTGTTTCTGTTTGACATTTTCTAAATGATTCTGAAAGCCTTTGACTTGTCAAGCCTATGCTAATGAACCATCTGGTACACTCCAGTGACTGGCAACAGAATATTCGCTACTGAGAACTCTCTAAAATATATATCTCAGTGACTAATGATCTTTATCAAATGAAAGCCTTGTCCTTTAGGCAGAATACGCTCCAGGATGGCCGGTGCCCTTTAACCTGAATGTGGTTTGAACGTCTGATACTTTACTCCCCCCGCCTCTTTTTTTTTCCCTGGTCTTGGGTCACTCATACGGAGAAGATGGACGTGGGCAATTCATGCAGCCTAACTCCTGGTGATCATCCAGTTGTTTTAAGGCATCTGCCCTAGAGGTCCTTGTAAATATTGAATAAGGGAGAAATATAGAGTCAAAAAAAGACAGACTGACATACAAATACATACACAGACAGTGAACAAGGGAAAATGGTGATGTTGGAATCTCTCTTCTGGAGTTTTTTTACGTTAACTACAACTTTTATATAATGTGTATATAGAAGTCTCTGGAAAAAAATATATAGATATGTGTGTTTACATACGTCCATGCTAAGAAAGTAAACAGATGCAGCACCCCTCCAGCCCTGTTTTATTTTCTAATTGGACAAAAATAAATAAGAATGATTCTGAAGAAAGCCACATAATACTATGATTAAAAGGTTAAATGTACTAAACTCAGTTACTAGTTACCATAGTAACTAATACCCAATACTTCTGGCACTGAACTTGGCTGTTAAACTTAGCCTGTACATATGTGCACGTCCATTTTGGTATCTCTAAATCCTCTTAGAATAAGGTTACTTACTTGCCTTGGGGGGGGATGGGAGATAGGCAGAATGGGTGAAGGGATGTGGGAGATACAGGCTGCCAGTTATGGAATGACTAAGTCACATGAATAAAGGGCACAGCGTAGGAAACATGGTCAGTGATATTGTAGTAGTGTTGTGACAGATGGCAGCTACGCTTGGGGTGGGCCCAGCATGACATACAGAGAAGTTCAATCACTACGTTGTATACCTGAAACCAATGAAACACCGTGTGTCAACTCTACTCAAATAAAAACAAACAAAAACAAAACAAAACAAAACAAACAAAAAGAAAGGTTACCTTACATTTGCTGTTTAAATGTGTCTGGGATGATTTTAGTGTTTATATTTTGAGCCGTAACTTCACATTAAACATGCTTCCCCCTCCTCATCCTCCAAGTCTCTGCCCCAAATTAAAAACAGTGAGGAATAAGTACGGAAATAGGTACATAGTGTGAGCACTGGATACCACGCGTATTTCAAAGTGAGATGGGAGAATAAAAAAAATTGTTATTTATTAGTGAGATGTACCATGAGACAAATGCTACACTATTAGGCACTGTGTCTTCTTATGGCGTTGAAACTGGTAGGCAAGTTGTTGCCCACTTGACATTTTATGTATGTCCTACTTTACAGTTAATAAAGCATTTTCCATCTGATTTAAGATATTTTAAAAATGTTCTTATTTTATTATTATTTAAAGATTTTATTTATTTATTTGACAGAGGGAGGCACAGAGAGAGAGGGAACACAAGCAGGGGGAAGGGGAGAGGGAGAAGCAGGCTTCCTGTGGAGCAGGGAGCCCGACGTGGGGCTCGATCCCAGGACTCTGGGATCATGACCTGAGCCAAAGGCAGACGCTTAACCACTGAGCCACCCAGGCACCCCCAAAATGATCTTAAATTATTTAAAAAGACTGATACATTTAGTTACATTTGGTTCAAAATTATAAAATGTCAACAATTGGAAATACCACTGATATTCTCTAGCTGGGTTCAGGACAGAAGAATTTACACTCGTCACGCTTTGTCCCCTGTGGTGCATGTTCTCCTTTCAAGGGCCCACACTCTGGTGATGTGTGTGGGTCCTTCATAAAGGATTACAGCAGAGAGCCAATATCATTTAAAAATAGTTCGATTTTTGGCAAATTTCTCAGTGCTTTCTCTTTTTACCTTCATCCAACTTAGGAGACAGAATTCACCTTTCTCTTTTACATACGACTAGGAAGTTGAAAAAGAAAACAAGCCACTTTCAGTGTTATAATGATCTAAACACAATTATAGGAAAACAACTGAAATGGAGCATTATTTTATGCTACAATGAAAGATATTCTCACAAGCAAGGAAATCTAACAAGAGTCATAGAGGTTAATAGGGAGGATGTAGGAATTTGCACAGTATAAAAATGTAAGATAAATGAATAAAAGTCTTTTTAGGAAGTTGTTTTTGAAACTTTCTTTTTCTTGATAAATGTATTTTTTGAGACCTAGGTTCTACCTTCTGTGATAAATTATGCCACTCTGTTAAGAAAAAAAAATCTATTAAAAAACATAAAACAGAATAGATCATTAGTCTTGGCTTATGTGTTTACCATTATCACAGAATGATCATTTAAAGTCTCCAGATTAGCATGTGCTGGATAATTTCTATAAATACTGATCCAAACTGGTACCTTTGTTCCAAAAGTTTAAAAATATATGCCATTTTCCTTCTGAAGGAAAATATACAGGTTTCCCATACTATGGCCATTTCTATAATTTTTCTCTAAAGTCCATCAGAGTTGAATTCATATGACCGAATTAATTTTCCCATTAAGCCATTTCTAAGAATTTCTCATTAAGTCTAACAAAACTTATGCTAATTGCCCCAAAGGTACTTACTGAATGTCTATTTTGTTTCTGTGTCTATAGAGATATTTTATAATTTGGTATCAATGATCCTGATATTTAAGCTATGTAAGGTTAAAAAAAAAGAAAAAGAAAGAAAGAACAAGATTTTTACGGAATTACTCTCATTTACTGACCATGTAGTTCCTGGATCATTGCTCTGCCGGTTGACTCTACTTTCAGCTAGCAATTCCTCTCACAGCATTTTGCATTGCTTTAGTAACCATCCGTTTCCCTAGTAGACTGTAAGCATCTTGGCGTGAGGACTCTGTATTAGTCAAAGCATCTCCAGAGAATTCTCCAATTAATGTTTGCTTTATATTATTGATGTATTTGTCCAAGATTGATATCACTGTGACATTACCTATTACATTTAACTGTTAAGTATCGTATAAGCCAATTTCCTTTCTTTTTCTAATTTGAAACTGGCTTTCAAAAATTGATTTATACAATAGATTTCTCCCTGAAATAAAGTATTTAAAATGTGACAGTGTTTTCTGGCTCAAGAATCCTGTGTGAATCCTGTGGTCTGAATAATCAAGTCTTAATTTACATGTTTTGCCAATGAGGATTTTCACTGGTCAGTTTTGCTTTAAGGGAAATGTGCCCACGTCCTCATTCCGATTTGGAATAGGGTCCCTGAGCTCCTACATTTCTTGCATCTCTGCACTGAGAGGCAGACCATAGTTTCTCTGCTATGGTCAAGATGGTTCACAAGGACCTAAAAGCAACAGAGAAGGTGAGTGCCAAAATACAGGTGACACACCTCTCAGAAGACTCAGAATTTTCTCTTTTTGTAGTTCATTTGTATTTACTTTTTGGGAAAAGTCCAGAAACTTAAGTGTGCTCCAACAATACTCATGGAATTCTTTTTTTTTTTTAAGATTTATTGATTTATTTATTGATTTATTGAGAGAGAAAATGGGGGGAGGAACAGAAGGAGAAGGAGGGAGAGAATCTCAAGTAGACTGAGCTGAACACAGATCCCAATGAGGGGTGTGATCTCACAGCCCTGAGATCATGACCTGAGCCCAAATCAAGTGTCAGATGCTTAACTGACTAAGTCACCCAGGCGCCCCATGGAATTCACGTCCTTTTGTGAAAATTCATATATGAAATACAGTTAGAATCTTAAGCATTTTCTCTGGGATGTTCTTCCTGTAAATCAAGTCCTATTCCACATTAAGTAATGAATGGAGGCTGGCATACTTGGGAGTCTAAATTCATCTATAACAGGACTCTGCAACACCAAAACTTCATGAATGAACTGATATTAAATTACATGAGAAAACAAAATTTGAAAAATTATTACATATTCTGGAGTCCTCAGAAATAATATGTTTTTGAGATGTGCTGTTCAGTTCCTGTATAAATACCACTGTACCATATTTGGATGGTAGAAGAGGGGAGACTGACAGAAGACCAAAATTCCCATCAGTCCTTCTGTGGTATCTTATGCTGGATCTCAAAGTCTCCTGCATTTGGCCTTCTATGTTCTCCTTCGAAATTTATAAGCTTCATTTTAATACAATTTAAAAATACAAGTTAATGAACTCTATCATTGCAAATTCAGAGTTGGAAATTACATGTAAACAGACAAGAGGCATCCCCAACACTTTTTCTATAGCCTTTAAATTTTGATGACTGGCAAAAGCATTTTGTGCTTCTCCTCTAAGTATCAATCTCTTATCATCTATTCTACTTTATTCACTCAGGGACTAATTACCAACTTTTATATGAAGCAGCATTACGATAAGCTCACAGTGGCATGCTCAGATTTTTTCCATCCTTATTGGAAAGTAAACCCT